CCTCACACCTCTCCAGTGGTCTGCCCCAGCCACTGCCTATCCTTGTAAACTTCACTCCAGCTGCTCATTTCAGGAAACCATAGGTAAGAAGTAGTTATTTTGTTCCTGCATTGCACAGAACTACAAGAATCCGGTTTTCCAACAGTTGGTTATTGCTGCCTCCAAATCAAATCACTTTACATCTCTAATCCAAAACCTTACACTGGACGGTTTTGAAAAGTCTGTTTTCTGCAGTCACTTCAGGTACCAAATACCATGTCTGGTCTGTTCAAGGAGAAGCCACTCTACATATTCCAAATAGAGTCGTAATGCGGAGAATTGGGTGGTTGTGATGTTATTGGAAGTCCACAGGAACTGGTTGGAGGCCCGACTTCCTGCAGCAGCTCCTAGGAGGAGTCCTCAGACTGTAGAAGGGGCCCTAACAACAAGCAGACGCTGCTGCTGTCACCACTGCAGCCTCACAGCTCTAGGCGGCTGGAGAACGGAGCCTGATGTTGTCCATACTCTGGGAACAAGGGAGTCACATCAAGTATCTGCGACCTTAACTGTTACCCTTAAAGCTCAGGAGACTGGAGAGCAGAAAGCAGAGAGTGGGGTGCTGCTCAAGGGTGCTCAAGGTCCTCTATGACCTTGCCTGTCACAAACCACAGCTGAAGGGACACAAGGAGATGGTTCTTGCCTCGGTTTTACTGTTCAGATTTTCAGATCTATCTAATTTGCAGAACGGAATCTGTGAGCCCGGCTTCATGTGACTCGAGCCTGGGTGAGCAGATCATTGGCAACAAACCTAGTGTTCCTGGAGCTTCTGCCTTCAGTGGGGAAAAGTCCTTGCCCCTTTGGGGTTCAAAGCCAAACATACCTGACTTTCACTTAGGGATTTTACCCGTCAGCCAAGTAGAGAGATGCCAAGTATTCCCCTGCTTGGCTAACGTGCTCTTCCTCTGCTCCTGTGAGCTTCTGCTACCATTCATCTCTGGCCCTCTCCTCATCTACTTTCTATGGGCAGCTTGGTGGGAAAACCTGTCCTCTTCATTAGGAAGAATCCCAGGTCCTCGGTGTCAGACTCAACTTCTGAGCCTCAGTTCTGCACCTCTGAGTATTTGTAGACACTGAAACTTAACTGTTGTATCTTACCTAGAGCTCAGAATTTCTAGAGCTGAACATTAGACACACCCTTGCTAATTCTCCTTCCTTATTTTTGTTGGTATATGATTTGTCTTTAAACCCTAACCTCACATGCCTTCCAGTTGTTGGTCGTCCTCAATCCCCAGCAGGCTGGAAGGAGGCCCTGCTCACTGACTCACCCTGCGTTACTGCACCAGGGCCCTTGTTCCATCTGCACTTCTGCCTCAAGAATGGTGCATTTCATGTCTTTAAGCACATTCAGCCTGGGATTCTTCTTGCTGACTGTTCTGAGCAGCTGCTGAAATGCTGTTCTGCTTTACTCTGTGTGGACTTCACAGCGAGCCCATGATAAGCGGGCATTTTCTCATTATATTAAAATAATAACCATTCAAGACTTAATTTTTCTGTTTAATTTTAAAATGATAGTCAGTGGGGTAACTTAGGAGTAGAGAAGGAGACTTGTCCCTTTGCATCTCAAGGACCAGACATCTGGGAAGTGGTAGGTTGTCTGTGCCTACCACATTCCAGTCCTATTCACAGTGGGGTGAAAGTTACTCTCATTAAAGTGACATCCAGGAGATAGGTGCAAGGTGGCCTGTCCTAATTGTCCTGAGGCAGGAATATTTGGGGTTTGTTTATTAGAAAATGCTGGGAATTCCTCGCAGGTGAATGTTAATCAGGGGCTTCACGACCAAGGCTTTACATCTCCTGCTGGGATCCATGCCGGGCTACACACCTTCACAGGTGTTTATTGCCTTGATAAAACTCTGGCTTGTGAGTAGTTTCCATGTAGGAATTCTTCATTTCTTTCTCTGAGCAGAGATTCCTTTTCATTTGGTTTCTTTCCTAGGACAGTTTGTTAATACTAATATCACCAGGGTAATGTACCACAGCTTTGCAAAGGTTGATATTGCAGACATCAAGTTTGATCATTTCAGATACTGAATATCAACACACGTTATCTTTAATATGATAGAAAGGTAGAGCTTCATTAACTTCCCTCTGTGGGAGTGTCAATTCCCCTAAGCACTGGGCTGTCTCTAAGGGGACAGGAGCCCCTCCTAGCCCCGCCTGTATCAGTAAAGCAGTGAGTGTTGCCTTTCTGTGTGGTTTCCACTGTTACAGAAACAATTATGGAATGTTTTCTATTACTGAATCCTAACTATTTTAAAAGCATCCAGAGGAGACAGAAAAAGTTGTTTAAAATGTTGGAGTACTGTTTCTAAATGGAAATTGGGATTATTTGGTTTGATTTATTTTTTGTGTTCTTGCTGAACATCTGACTCAAAGATGTAAAATTAAGTTATACTATAGAGAAGTAATTTAGGTATTTGGAAGATATGTGAAGATTGTTTAAGAAGAAAGAAAAAGACCACGAGCAGGAGCTCATGCCTATAATCTTAGCACTTTGGAAGGCTGAGGCAGGAGGATTGCTTGAGGCCAGGAGTTCAAGACCAGCCTGGACCAAAAATTTAAAAATTAGCCAGGTGGTGTGGTATCTACCCGTAGTCCTAGCTGCTTTGGAGGCAGAGGTAAGAGGATCCTTTGAGCCTGGGAGTTTGAGGCTATAGTGAGCTGTGATCGTACCATAGAACTCCAGCTTGAGTGACAGAGGACAGCCTGTCACACAGAGAGAGAGAAAAGTATGTTTTACCAGAATAAGATAAGTCTCATTTTCAAACCTTTTCTTTTTTTTTGTTTTTTGGTAGTTTCTGGCCAGGGCTGAGTTTGAACCCATCACCCCCGGCATGTGGGGTTGGCGCCCTACTCCTTTGAGCCACAGGCACCGCCCCTCATTTTCAAACTTTTTAACTGAAAATGATTTGTTCCCTTATAGCACCAAGAGTTTATGTATAACATTAGAAAACAGGATAGAGTGGATAAAGAAAATATCCTTAGATTTTTATCTAGAAAATATCCTTAGTCATTTTTTTAAGACTTTTCTCTCAACTCTTAACAAATAGAAAACAGTATGTGTTTGTTTTCTTGATCTTCTTTCTTCTCTTAAGTGCCCTACAGGGAGGTCCATGTGAAGAGTAAAATTACCCAGACCGTCAGCGGAGGCAGTGAGCAGCCTCTCGGTGATCAGTCGTCTGCATAATTATATATTATTAACCTTTCCTTGAGAAAATTAAAAGTACTTCTGAGGTAGTAAGATTACATGCTGAATGAAATAACGTTCAAGTATGAGAGAAAATAAAAATAGCACATGTTAGCCATGTGCAGATGTAAAGCAATCAACTTAAAGGGAAGAAGCTGGTGCATCAGGCCCCCAGACCCCAGGAGCTACTGCAGACGCCACCCGCTGCATCTCCATTGCAGTGTCCACTGTCAGCGAGTACACAAGTCAGTGGCTGGCTGGCGGAAACCCTGATGACCTTGAAACGTGTGGGAAATACACAGGCACCCTGGAATTACACTGGCACTGCAGCACCTCAGTGATGGCGGATTCTAGTCTTGGGGGGTGCAAAAGTGAACAGTGAAACAAACATCTCTGTTTTTCTGCCTCAAAAGCTAAAAGTTGAGAAGGAAGATGTAACAGAGTGGAAAGCTGGAAAGGAAACTTCACTATTTTATAACAAAAAGACACATCGTAATGTGTGAAGGAAAATGATCTATGACCAATGAAAGCAAATCTCCATTTATGCAGAATGTAGGAGGTTTAAAGAATTCTTTAACTCAGGAAGGTTGATAGTTTATTGCTTTATCGTATATCAGTTGTTTATAGTGAACTAAAAAGAAAATAAAGACACTATGAAATGCAGTCATAACTTTTGAGATTGTCAGAAAAAAAAATTGCTATTTTCCATGACAGAATATCGGGATGTAAGGGACATGAATTTAACCTTGTGGAACGGTTCATCTCCTCCCCTTCAACTGTTTTCACCATCTAAGTTGTTTCACGTGAGACCAGCAATCATCCTTGAACTACGGCCTCCCCTTTGCTCAGCTGCTTTAAGGCTGCACATGGGCTCCAGGGCCAAGGGTTTCTGTCAGACACCAGGTTTTAGGTGGTAATGTTAACATAGCTTAGAAGAAAATAGAAGATAATACTCTTCAAATCGCTTATCTCTTTCTTTCTTCTAGAAAAGTTTTTTGAAATGAAGAAAGGACAATGTAAAGATGCCCTAGAAATTTACAAGCGATTTCTAACGAGAATGACACGCGTGTCTGAATTTCTGAAGGTGGCAGAGGTAAGGAACGTTAAGTTTTGTTGGGAATATGACTTTTCAGATACCAAGTCCCGTATCTGGAGTATGTAACAGTATATAACGTGGCGACCATCTGCCCCAGAGTTGCAGTGTGACAGGCTGGAGGTGATAAACCCAGCTCCCGCTCAGAGCTGCCCCCACACGCCTCCGTCCCACTCAGGCGGTCACTGTGCATTCAAATCAAAGTTGCGTGGACAGCGCACTCACTTGCAGCTTTGTGGCTTGGCCGGCCCTCCCTCCCACCTGTGGCCGTCTTTTACTGCAGGAAGTGCCTCCTTCTTGTTGCACTTCCATTTGCCTTTAGAGAAGCCTGTCATTGTTCTTAGTGTGAAATCATAAATCATAAATTCTGACATCTTTCCTTCATCGATGACTTAGACATAATTAAAAATCAACAAAGTATAATTCGTCTTCTGACATCTATAAGTTATTTTGTAAAGGTATTTCTTTATACCTGATCACAGTAAACGTGTAACCACACACTTGGTGTTCCTGAGGTTGTCTGTAAGTTGGTGTTTTGTGAGAGCCAGTTATTAACTCATGCTGATACTGGAAATTATGGTACTGTTATTGTCCTTTGGCAGATGACAGAAGGGCTTTTATCTCACATGGCAGCAGATCGCAGAAGACTGAACTGAATGCTGTGTGTTGTGTGAAAGAGGCTCTGAGGCTTGGCAGCGGGCACAGTGCTGTGGGTGTGGGGTGCTCAGGGCTTGCTCTGGCTGGTTTTTGGTTTTGTTTCGTTTTTTGAGATAGTGTCTCACTCTATCGTCCTGGGTAGAGTGCTGTAGCATTGTCCTAGCTCACAGCAACCTCCAACTCTTAAACTCAAGGGATGCTCCTGCTTCAGCCTCCCAAGTAGCTGGGACTACAAGCACCCACCACCACACCCAGCTAGTTTGCCATTTTTAGTAGAGATGGAGTCAAATATTAACAATAATTACAGAAAAGCAAGAGTACTCAAACAATTTCTATGGAAATATTCACATTTCCCAAAAGAAATTGCTTAAAATACAGAAAAGTTACTGTGCCTTAGATTCTTACACTGGAGTCTCCTGATGCAGACAGTCAAAATTTTGTAAAATTGTGGTTTTACAGGTAGTAGGCATTTATGCTACACACTTTTCTTTTTTATAGAAACAAGTTATTCTTAGCTTGCTGTTCTGTAGTAAGTATAGAGTTGTAGGAGTTCTGTCTCCCAGAATATCTGCAGACAGAAAGCGATGAGATTTTCTGATCCGCTCACCCAGCCCTCCAAGTGTATTGTGGGTCAGAAGTTCGCAGCAGGAGAACCTCAGGATGGAGGAAGAATTCCTAAGTTGTGTTGTTCAGCAGAATCTTCCATTTAATGGAAACGCATCACCTATTTCTTAAGTAATTTCAGTGTTAAGACTCCACAATATTTTCATTTTAAAAATGCATCTTTTATACATGTTAATACTTTTAAGTGGATCATCTACAGAGGCATTAGAATGCAGAGACATTAACAGGACGGAGCTGCATCGGTTTATAACTTTTACAGTTTGTAATAATAGAAGTGAGTGTAGGGAGGCGGCAGTGGCTGAGTTCAGCCATTGGACAGTAAAGTCTGGAATTCTAGATTCCAACGTAAGTTGATCCAGAGGGATGAGGGTAGTATGTACCCAGGTCTCAGGAGCAGTTGGCTGTGCTTCCCACTTCTGCCGGGACAGCATCTATAGATGTCTTCATCACACAGGAGACGGCGGCTGCTAGAATCCACAGGGAGAGGCAGGGACACTGCCAGACCGCTCAGGGTGCAGTGACACACCCCAGCAAAGAACTGTCCTCCCCAAATGCCAGTCACACCACAGCTGAGAAACCTGCCATAGAACAGGCAAAGGTCAGAGGGCAGTTCAGCGTTGGACACACCATGGACTTTCAGTCTCCAGTTTGCCTCCTGGCCTTGTAGGCCCCAGCACTTTGCTTCCGTGAGTCCATCTGTGGGATGAAAGCACTTCATTTCTCAAGGAGAGACACTCTGCTTTAGGCCCACTTTGTTTCTTTGAACCTCTTTTTTTTTTTTTTTTTTGCAGTTTTTGGCTAGGGCTGGGTTTGAACCTGCCACCTCCAGCATATGGGGCCAGCACTCTACTCCTTTGAGCCACCCCGAACCTTTATTTTATTATTGATACAAAGTTGATAGAATTGAACTTATAGCTGCATTTTTCCCCAACTTTTTACTTTTAGTAGTTTTCAAACCTATACAATGATTGGCATAGCATAATGAACACATGCGCACTCTTATTACTTCACATCTATTAATATTTTTCCATATTTGCCTTTACTCCATTTTTCTCTCTCTCTCACCGTCACGCTACCAAAATTACCATTTTGAATATGCTTTTGCTCAGTAACTGCACTTCCACAAAGGTGTGGCGTGGACGCCTCCACACACATGCAGAGCAGGCCGTGCGGTGTGGCCTGCAGTGGAGAGAGAGGAGCAGCTTCAGTGACCACTAATAGATGACTTGTTCTGTCAACTATCGGACAGTTCTGCACAGCTGCTTTAAAATGAGGACTTCTGTGTATTAGTGTGGACGTGTCTCTAAGATATGTTGTTAAGTGAAAAGTGTAAGTGTGTATAATATGCTATTATTTGGATAAGAATAGGGAAATAAGTATATATTTATATATTTCATATTTCCTTTAATGGAATACATAAAGAAACTCAAGAAGGATATGTAAGAAACTAATAAAGTGGGTGTCTCTATGGGAGAAAGGACACCCAGAAAAGGTTGATAAAACTAAACGATCAGCTCCCTCCGGAGGATTACTGCGCATACCTAACTATTTAAATTTAGTCTAAGCGGTGTTAGAGGTTTTTAGCTTTCATTAATCATGGAGAATGCCTTTTAATTCTATGTTTCAATTCATTTTCTTTTTTTATTCTAGTAAAATTCTATATATTTCTTGTATCTATACATGCTAATAAAATCATGCTCTATTATTTAATGTGAAAAACCACATATAAGTGCATTGTCAAAGTGAGATCAATATACAGGGTATCCATAAAGTTCATGTGCAATTTTAAATTGCACAGTATTTTAAATTGTACACAAACTTTATGGCCACCCTGTATATATTTATATTCATAAGAGAGCCATTATTTTATGTCAAGATTGAGCTGTTATTTTGACTAATTATATAAGTGATCATCCATTAAATGCAAAAAAAAATAATAATAAAAATTCCACTAAAGGCCAGACACAGTGGCTCATGCCTGTAATACCAGCACTTTGGGAGGCCAAGGTGGGAGGATTGCTTGAGGCTAGGAGTTTCAGACCAGCCTGAGTGACATATCGAGACTCCCATTTCCACAAAAAAATTAAAAATTAGCCAGGTGTTGTGGTGCACACCTGTAGTCCCAATTTCCTGTCTCCTAAGACAGGAGAATCACTTGAGTCCAGAAATTTGAGGCTGCTATAAGCTATGATCACACCACTGCATTCCAGCCTAGACGACAGACTGAGACTCTGTCCCTGAAAAAAAAAAAAAAGTTCTGTTAAATAATGTCTCATTTTTTTAATCCACAGCAAGTGGGTATTGATAAAGGTGACATTCCTGACCTCACTCAGGTAAGTGACTGTCTCAGTGGGAGATTCAGTATGTATGAAATGATTATTCCGTGTGTTGCTATAGATGGGAGCGTCTTGTAAGCACTTAATGCATTGTGAGTTTAGTCTGGCCGACTTTCTTGGAAATGATTCTGCCTACACATGCTTTTTACTGTGGAAGATATTTCTGGAGATAACAGGAAGATTTTTGGACAGTGTCTTCTTTAAAGACAGTTGAATTTTTGCTAATTAAGCTCATCTTTTCATTCTTGAACTTGGTTAATAGGAAACCTTAAACAATGTTAATAGAAGTGCTTTAGCTTTGGAAAGTGACTATTCACAGACATGCTCATCAGAACATGTTTCCCTTTCACTTCCTCCTAAAGCCACGTGCAGGGACCACGGAGGGCTGTGAACAGGGAACTGACTGACTCTTGCCTTCCCACGAAGTGGAGAATTCCATCTATAAAATAACATTAAAAAAAAAAAGCTGTAGGGGTAAATAGGGATTTCTCACTTCCATCTGTCAGAGGGCACAGGGTGTGGTTCCAAATATGACCAAGGTCACTCACAGGTGCAGCTTATCCTGTGACCTTTCTCCTAAGTGGCAGGAAGGGTCTTTATTTAATCACTCCGTTTGATAAATTTCCATTCCAAACATGTCCTTTACCTAGTGATGTTGTAGAGGTGAGGGGAGAAGGCAGAGCTGCTGTCCTATAGGCAGATAGATGGAACAGGTGAATTCTCTGTCTTTGTAGATAAAGGTAGTCATTGTGATAGAGAATTATCATAGTGGAGGATACTTTTTAATAATAACAGACTGTGTTTAGTAATTCACTATTCTTACAATGCCTTGAAATGTGTCTGTATTTAAAATAACATTAATCCTTAAATTTTTATTAAAAATTAAGAAAATTAAGTGGTCTTTTGTATTTTTACTATTAACATATCAATTAAATATCAAGAGTTCTTCACAAATAAAATTTGCAGAGAAACTCCAATGATGGCATTATATTTTCTTAGTTAAAAGTTGGGAGATAACTCTTCCTAGTAGACAGAATATTAGTATAAAATATTTCTGCTACCATGAGAAAATAGTTTAACTAAGCACATACATGAATAAGATATGGGTATCATTTTGTTTATGGGTAAAAAATTAAGTGGACATAAATCTAGTACTATTAAAAATCTCTTTATTAGATATTTATTTTTGTAATACTTTAACAAAAAGCAAAAAGAAATATGTTTTCATTTAAATTATAACAAACATTTATGTCATATTTTAAAAAAATAACCCAGATAAATAATGCATGTTAACTTTTGAAGCATTAAAATATTTTGCTCAATGAATAGCTTCTAGAAGTGGCAAATCATTTTTATTTCAACTGTGTAGACACCATGACTGTGGAATAAAGAAAAACTATTAATAGGTATTTCATTAAGGAGAGGCTCTTAGTTAACAAGAAAATAGATCTTGACTTGGCACCCATAGCACAGTGGTTACAGCACTGGCCACATGCAGCCAGGCTGGCAGGTTCGAACCCCACCCGGCCCTGCTAAACAACAATGATGATGACAACTGCAACAACAACAACAAAATAGCTGGGCATTGTGGTGGGCGCCTGTAGTCCCAGCTACTTAGGAGGCTGAGGCAAGAGAATCTCTTAAGCCCAAGAGTTGGAGGTTGTTGTGAGCTGTGACACCACGGCACTCTACTGAAGGTGACATAGTGAGACTCTGTCTCAAAAAACAGAAGAAGAAAATAGGCATTTCTCGCACTTAGTTTGGGAAGAGCCTGAATGGGTCCGAGGAAAGATGTAAAGAACCACTTCAATTCCTTTTTGTTTTTAAAATTAGAAAATGATAGTATATCACTGAAAGAAGGGTTTATATACTTGGGTTTAGTTTTTAAGGATATTATAATACTCGTTATAATTTATATAATCTCCTCTCGAGAAGTCCAGAAACATGAGACTTTATTTGATGATATATGTTTTCATAATTTGGAGAACAGAGACTCCACCTCAAAGGAGGTGATGCCCTGCCCTGAGTCTGGTAGAAAACTTTTCTGTGGGAGAAATTCACTAGAATCTTCTGGCAGATTCTTCATCCTCTGCTTTTGTTACAACCTTAAAAGCCACATAAATTTCAATATTAACATTTACCTTTAAATGATTTCTTCATACAAAAATTCCTCTAGTTCAATTCTGCAGTGTTTATTTAAATCCCAGTACAAGAGTATGCTTCTGACATTTCTGAATAAGTAACATGACTGTGGTTTCCTTCGGGACTGTGAGCTGCACAGAGCTAAGCACCCTCCCTGGTTCTACGTAGGGCCCCTTCCATGGCCTCGGAGGCCTCGACGTGAATGTGGCTCTCTGTGGCAGTACAGTCACATCCGAGCTGGAATATAAGGTGTTCTGGGGTTGATCCTTCAGGCAGAGTTTAATCCTTAGAGATGGGTCAGGAGTCTGATGTTATGGGGACTGGGTTCAGCTCCTCTCAGATTAGGTTCTGCTTTTTCTGGGCTTGTCTCCAGCTGGCACAGCCACTGAATCTTGCTGTGACGATGAGAACAAGAATCTTGCGAGAAAGGAGAGGGGACCAGAGGGCTTCCTGTTGTCTAGAGTAGAAATAGGATGCTCATAACTAAAAAGGATTAGAGGCTGGGTGCCTGTGGCTCAAGCGGCTAAGGCGCCAGCCACATACACCTAAGGTGGCAGGTTCAAATCCAGCCCGGGCCCGCTAAACAACAATGACGACTGCAACCAAAAAATGGCCGGGCGTTGTGGCAGGCACCTGTAGTCCTAGGTACTTGGGAGGCAGAGGCAGGAGACTCGCTTGAGCCCAGGAGTTGGAGAAAGAGAGAGATTAGAATTCCTCTTGCTGTAGAATGGAACAGGAGAATCTCACAGATGTCCTTGTAAATTCTGAGTATCGTTCAGGTTAGAGAATGCACCTCGGCAGACAGACAGCGATGCTCCGTCCGAAGCTGTCTGTGAGTTGTGTGTATAATAACATCATCACTGCTTTCAAATCACTCACGCATATCCCTGAAATGCTGACAGGCATTCAGAAGCACTGTGGGGTAAGAAATGTGATATTAGAGCTGAAACGTTTCCCCTCGGCACTTTCTCATGGTTTTCTAGAGCTGATGATCAAAAATTTCAATGCTCTTTAGATTTATTATTTTTTGCATGGTTTTTAATGGTGGTTTTTAATCTAAACCGTCTGAAATGTAGATAGATGCTTTCTTTTGGCTCCTGGGCTCACAATCAGCTATGAATTTATTCTGAGAAAATAATTTTTTTAAATATTTTTTCCTGTTTAGGGCGTGTGAGCATTGCACATGTAAAATGTCTCCATTTATGAAAGTATCTTAGGTTTTGATGTCAGGAATTACGGTTGATCTGAAAGCTACAGGTAAAGAAAAGCCTCCTTTACAGACTGGGGAGTCGGTCACCGCCCGCTGCTGCCTCTCGGCCCACAGCCGACTTGCTCCTTGGTTGGTGCTGCCATCTGACTGGTCTATTGACTTTGGCATTCATTTTTTTTTTTTTTTGAGACAGAGTCTTACGTTGTTGCCCTCAGTAGAGTGCTGTGGCATCAGAGCTGTCAGCAACCTCAAGCTCTTGGGCTCAAGTGATTCTCTTGCCTCAGCCTCTGGTAGCAGAGACTACAGGCACCCAACACAAGGCCTGGCTATTTTTAGAGGTGGGGTCTCTCTCTGGCTCAGGCTGGTCTTGAACATGTGAGCTCAGGGCAATCCACCTACCTCGGCCTCCCAGAGTGCTAGGATTATAGGCGTGGTGAGCTACCATGTCTGGCCTTAATTATAATTTTTTTTTTTTTTTTTTTGGGTTTTGGAGACAGTCTCACTATGTCATCCTTGGTAGAATGCCATGGCATCACAGCTCACAGCAGCCTCAAACTCTTGGGCTTAAGCAATTCTCTTGCCTCAGCCTCCCAGTCTCTAGCTAGAACTACAGGTGCCTGCCACAATGCCCAGCTATTTTTGTTGTTGTTGCAGTTGTCATCTTTTTAGCTGGCCCAGGCTGCTTTCAAACCTGCCAGCCCTCGTGTATGTAGCCAGCACCGTAACCACTGTGCTACGGGCACTGAGCCACTTTGACTTTTTTTTTAAATGAGCAGCTAAAAATACTATCATAGCTATGGCCATCATAGCTCCTTTCACAGCCGCAGAGGCATTGTCCAAGCTTTGCACCTTGGAAATTTAAGAGATGGTTTTCCTGAGTTGTCTTCCACCTGCCAGAATGTCTTCAGAGCCATGGACCCGGTGAGAGCAGGAGACCTCCCTGCGCTGCTGGTGTCACTACCAAAGTCCTCTTTTTCCCTCCAAAGACATCTGAGGAATTTATTTCTCTTAGACTTCACATGTCCTTATAAGAGAGACAAATGGTGAAGCACTTTTAACCCCCTAGAATGAAGGGCTCCAAACTGCATTTCACAGGCACTGTGTTCCCAAGTCGCTGCCCTTCAGAAAACAGCCCGTCCCATAGTCTCGTGTCCCGTGGCCACACTTCTCTCCTGACGACTGTGATCTCTGTACCTTCTTACCTTTTCAGTTTTCTCACTTAAATTATTAAGAAACTGTACAAAAGAAAAAACTATAGATTACCTTCCTCAGGGTTTTGGCTTTATTTTGTTTTTAGTAACTAAGACTTTATAGATAGAGAAAATATAACCACTTCTTGGTTATTCCATATTTGTTGCTTCCTATTTTGTGACTATAAACGAAATTGATTTTTCTTAAACAGCGTTTTAAATTTAGGTTTAGCAAACATCGCACTTTCTCTGCGTCTTTTGTAATTCAGAGGATCTACGTCTTTTAACTGGAAAGAAGTTCTATAGTTTGATATATTTTTTTTTCCTTACTGCAACCCCAGCTTTAAAAAAAAAAAAAAAAAGGGAAATATGAAAAGTTTAAACTTAAATGCCTGGTCCTCCGGGGCCCCATCATCATCACCGTTAGTGACAATTAGTGTCATGATTTTTAAGTTAGCAGATGTGAATTCATCTAAAACTATGGCAGCCACTTGTATTTTCTTCCTTTGAAGGTTACATTCTTTATTCAGTGAGCGTTTCTTTATAGTTTATAATCTGGTGTATAGACCAAAATTTCCTTCACTTAAATTTTATTTATTAAAACTTTAAAATTTTATTTCTTAAAACTTAGAAGCACATTCCTACTACATTCAAAATTTGTTGAATAATTTTATTTTCATCTGAGGTATATCTTACAATTCTAATTTTTATAGTTTTCTAAATTTATTAATCCCCTGACAATATGTAATGCACTCCGTCATCCAGAGCTTTTTAGCTAATGCTGACAGGGCTGTCCCGTTCTAGCCTACCTTCACTACTTTGATCAACTTGATATTTTTATTTACTGAATAATTTACATTTATAATAACCAATTAGTACATATATAATAATCATGTGAATGTTAAGACAGTTGCCGATTGTGAAATGAAAATGAATAGTAAATGTCCTAAATTTTCGAAATTAAAAATTTTTAATAAGAATTTTAGTTTATCATTACAAGTACCGGGTAAAAGGTATCGTTATATGAATTTCTTTGACTCCTGTGAGCTATTAACCAGGTAGTATAGTTATTTTGAAGTCCTTCAAAGTCAGATTCACATTCAAGGTCAATTGTCGGTCTGCAAATGTTGTTGTGTATCTCATTGGTCTGATGCTGTTCTCCGAATGCCTTTGCTGCCGCTAAGGTTCAGTGTATGTTAAAATTACTTTACAAAGGTGAAGTTAAATCTCTAATGCCTGAGGAATAGATCGGATGGAATATTTGTATGAACCTGTTACTTCTTCTTCTCATATACAGTAAAATGCTTTCACTTTATATTGCCTAAAATTTTATTTGTAAAAAGAAACAATAAAGTTCTTTTAAATAACAGTTAAAATATGATAAATCCACTCAAACACAGTACTCTATGTATTATTACGTAATATTGGCTACAGTCATTTTATTATTTATTATTATAAATTAAATGCCTCAATGATAAGAAAATCTTACTTGTTATTGACTAGTAGAATTATTTCCTCCCACAACACCGACCTAACCTCCCTTTAAATATAATAATAATTTTTCCCGATGTTTCCTGTGGATAAGTGAGATTTTACTGTATTTTCAAACTTGTGTAAGTTTGTACGTGGGTGCTTACATTTTTGACTTGGATACAAAGGCCTATTCATTTCTCACTGTGATCTTGTGAACTTGATTTGAGCTGATTGCATGTAAGTAGCATCTTAGTACAAGTCTGTTCAATATGATCTCTGCACTGAAACCGCACAGTGATGTTTGTTGTTACTCATTGGAGTTCAGTGTATCTACGATGGCCTAAGAATCTGTGGGATTTGAATATGTCAATGCCGACGAACCCTAGAATTACAGGCTGGGGTCCATCCGCAGACCACCATACAAAGTTACAGTGATGTTACAGTGTGTTTGCTCTGAAAGGAAAGAATGCAGCATTTATTTTTACTTTCTTATTGTAGGCTCCCAGCAGTCTCATGGAGACCCTTGAACAGCATCTAAATACATTAGAAGGAAAGAAACCTGGAAACAAGTACGCATTAGTCGCATGCTCTAAATAAGATGGGGCGCAGAGCGGGTCCTCCTGAGAGTGAGATCCATCACAGTGCAGCTCACACCACGACAGTTTCAGGGTCTGCTTTGTTCCCGCTTCCCTGGCTTCCTGCCCTTTCTGTTCTGACAGTGTCACCTCAGGTATAGGTAATCTATTGACAGGCTGATGCAGTGAATTAGGAGATTGTCTCTCTGTTGACTGAACTACTGCTTTACGTATTAGCCCTTACATAGAAGGGATTCACAGCACCATATATACAGAAAAAGAGGCAGGGACAGTGGCTTATGCCTATAATGCCAACACTTTGGGAGGCTGAGTGGGAGTTTGGGACCAGCCCAGGCAACACAGAAATCAGCCAGGTTTGGTGGGCACCTGTGGTCTCAACTACTTGAGAGGCTGAGGCAAGAGGATCCCTTGAGCCTAGGAGTTCAAGGCTGCAGTGAGCTATGACCACACCACTACACTGCAGGCTGGACAACAGAGTAAGACCCTGTTTCTAAAATAAAGTGAAATGAAATGAGGAGTCGCTCATGTTTAAAAATTGAAGCTGTTATCATGGGACTTGCACGAAAACAAGCACAGTGTCACTGGCAGCCTGGCAAACTCCATTAGCAACCCCATATAAAGAAAGCAAAGCTGTGTGGACTCCAGTCTCGCCCCACTTGAGCCAGGCGTGGCGTAGCACCGACATTACTCAGCGGGCCTGGAGCATCTCAGTCAAGTAGTGACAAGAACAGTTTCACTAGATAACCTTCGTGTTGGGTTCTTTTTTTTTTTTTTTTTTTT